CGAGAATAAAGATAAATTAAAAGAGAATTTAAATAAACAAGTAATTTAACTGAACGAATAAAGCAATGAAGATAATATATCGAAAACACTTATAATAAGAAACCTTGGTTAGTAAAGATCCACCACCGGAATTTAACACTGATCATTGATTAATACAGTAATTAATATGCAATTGAATATTTGTCGTGAAATTATTTCATTTCCGTTTTCCCTTAGTTGTAGGTAACTAAAGCACACGCGGTTTAATTACCCCTAACTATTAAATAACCTAAGACAAGCGCTATAGATTTCATTTAATAGCAGCAATAGGAACTAGGAAAACCGACAAACTAAATAACACAAGCACAAGCGGTTGCATTTAATTTAGGAAAATATTCTACCCGAGTCCAATTATCACTAAGCCGTCAATAATTAACCCAGTTGCTACTGAATATTAGAATAATTTGTAGCACAACATTATCTAATATAGCAAATAATTATATCAAGTAAATAACTAGTAGGCCTCCCTAGCAATTAAATGATACAACTATTCAAATAACTTAGAAGAATATTTAATACCCAAATGCATAAAAATTATATAATAAAAATAAATAAATAATCTTACAGCATAATCAATTCCGGGGCTTCAATTCACTAAACCAAGCTAAAGAAATTAGCAATGAATGGACATTGATAATAACTTTACAGAATAATTGAGAGGGGAAGAATGAACATTTTACAATAGAAAAGTCCTACTATTTAAAGAATTCTAAAAATAAACCTAAACTATTTCCTACCATTCATTTCCTAATTTCTTGCCTCACGACAATTTCCGCTGCTGCCTCGCCATAAGTTGCGCACGACAAATTGACAAAGTTTCATCTAATTTGGCGCACACCTGTACTAAGCAAAACCATTTGCAAAGTTTAGGTTTATAATATATATATATATATATATATATATATATATATATATATATATAAAAGTAACTATATTGTAGTACGCAATATATAAATTAGTAAGTATTCTTATATATTATATATATATATATATATATATATATATATATATATATATATATATATATATATATTATATTATGTATTATGTATTATATATTATATTTAGTTCATTAATTATTAAACTCTAAAAAGAACTAATTATTAAATAATATTAAATAATTAATGCAAAATTATTATAAAGATGTACCTAAAATATGAGTGTAAAATATGCCTATCAAATTCCCCCACACTAAAACATTTGCTTGTCCCCAAGCAAAAATATTATTTGCGAAGTAAATTGAAACGAAATTCCCAAAACTCATAACATATCATGAACAACAATCTGAAGCACCCTGCAATTATTAAGTTAGCACCCCTATTTAAAAATGGAGAGAACTAAATTACACTACAAAAAAACACAAGAATAGCGACGGACGAATTCCGTCGCTAAATAGTGAAAATCCGTCGCTAAAGTATTTAGCGACGGATTAGCGACGGAATTCGTCCGTCACAAAAACCCTCCTCGCTAAAAGTTAGCGAGACAATTTATTTTCCGTCGCTAGCTTTAGCGACGGAAATTTCCGTTGCTAGTTGAAATATTTCCGTCGCTAAACTTCTTACGACGACGGATCCGAAGAGGACTATTGCGAGCAAATACCGACGGAATAGTCCGTCGCCATAATTAGCGACGGAAATTCCGTCGCGAAAGCAACTACAATTCCGTCGTTAAATTGCTACTACTATGTTCCGGCGACGAGATTTACAACGACTTAGCTACGGATTTTTCCGTCGCTAAATATAGCGACGGACGTGACCGTCGCTACCGTCCGTCGTTATATTAACGACGGAAATTATCCATCGCTATTCTTTTATTATTATTTGAATTGAATTTAATTTAACTACAACTTAATGACAGAAATATCCGTCGCTAAATTTAACTACGGATTTTTCAATTGCTATTTCGTTACATTACTACCATATTTGATCGTCCCTAAATTTTCAAAATTAATAAAACAATTATACCCGCTAATTAATATCAGAAACATGCATTAAACCTATAATATAGTACTTGAATAATATAATTATAAAATATACTATATTAAAAAGCGTTCAAAGTGAATAGCAACAACAAAAGTGTTGTAGTATAATGTTACATCATTAGAACCAGTACCAAATATATTAATAAACATAATCTAATCATCTCCTAAGGTTTCATCATTTGAATTAGCCGAATGGTGAGCTTGAGTACTTGGATTGGATAACATGCCATTACGACGCAACTCATCCATCAAACTTGCAATTTGAGCTTGCATTTGAACTTGCATTTGAGTTCTTTCAGCTTGCATTTGAACCTGCATTTGAGTTCTTTCAGCTTGCATTTGAACCTGCATTTGAGTTCTTTCAGCTTGTAGTTTAGCTTCCATCTCAACTCGCATGGTATCTAACTGTTGGTTCACCATATCCTTCATTGCCTCTTGTTGAAATTGTGAAGTAGCAGATGAACTACAGCTATTCCTGCTAATAAATGTAGATGACTTGGACCCTAAGCCATAGATACGCTGTTTTTTTACCCCACCAACAACATCCACATACATCTGTGACATGTCTATAACTGGTGGCTCAGTTGAATCTTCCGCCTCTTGCATTGCAGCATCACGCCGTACTTGTATTTCGTCCTACAATTAAAAACATATACAAAATAAGACAAATATATAAAGGCATATTTGAATTTTATCAATTTAACAATATACGGTTGTTAGGTTATACTTACAGCGATTCTCTTTGACCTCTCATCAATGAACGTACCATCTTTCTTTTGGTGCGTATGCTTAAAGCACTCAAACAGATTAGGCTCCTTTTGAAGTGTTTCCCGCTATTAAACAAGCACAAAGAATTAAATGATGCTTAAATCCGTAAAATATATATAAATAATAAATTTTTATGTTAAATGTATTACCAGTGTGTGAAAGTGCTCAATAGATGATCTAGATCCTCCGGTATGTCGAGAACATCCCGTACCAGGTCCTGCTACCTCACTCATCCTATTTTTGCGTTGCTGTTCAGATTTAGCTTTCACTTCAGGCCTATCCCAGTATGCCTCCCAAATGCGCCATGTATCTTCATGTACAAAATCGGGCTTCCCAGATGAAGTCCGATTCTTCTTGATCCTGGAGACCATATCTGTATAGCGTATGCTTGCTTGTGTTAAAAACGCTCTCCGTACTTGACTGTTAATGGTCTCGTCCCACTTGTAAAATTTCTGTAACATTACAAATTACAAATTTATCAAATATATGCAATATCATCCATAAGATGCATTGGACAAAGTTACTAACATAAATAAAATAACATTCTAGCTTCAAGCTTCAAGAATGAACCACACTATTTTCAAAAACATATCGTGAATTTACCTTAAATTCTTCAAAGTATAATTCCTTGTATTCATTAGACACATTCTTCCAAGTATACCCATCATGGTAGATCCTTTGCTTCAATATTTTTGTAATTGTAGCTGAACATGTGTTAGAAGGCATTAACCTGTACATATATAAAAGATTAATAAAGATAAAAAAATATATATATACACATAAATGTAAATATAATAACACATTTTTACCTCCCAGCCTCTACATGAACAATAGGCAAATCACAAGCAGTAGATGGTCCTGCAACTGATGAAGATGTGGGTGGAGTAGTAGTGTCTGAAGGTGATGGAATCGGCAAGTCAGGTGGTGAACCAATAGAAGCAGGTGACACAATAGCTGGAGACACTATAGCAGGAGGAGGTGCCACAGGAGAAGGAAGTGCAGACGATGATGGGCTAGAACTCGGAACTGTAACCGATGCACCGCGTCCATGTCCTCTTATGCGTCCAGCTCTACTACCACCTCGTGTCATCTAAAATAAAATAAAAATAAAATATTATAAAATTAAATAACATATAAATATAACATGTCCATTTAGTATGTAATAATAAAATATTATAAAATAAATAACATATAAATATAACATGTTCATTTACTATGTAAACTATGTAGTAACTATCAATACCGTTATCACTATCTCCTATTACTGAACCTCCACTTGAGTCATCTATTTCTTCCTCTAACTCAAGTTCATCTTCGATGTCACCATGTTCGCCATCAAATTCTACCACACCACCATTTGGGTCATTTAAACGCAAAGGATCTTCATCTATTTGCATGAGATCATGATTATCGGTAGTTTCCTCTTGAAATGGTGCAGGTATTTGTGATTCTTCAGTAGATGTAGATGATTCAGGAACTACTATTTCAGATCTCGCTTTAATTTTGCAAACAGCCCACCAGTCAAGTATGTCGCGACGCAAACTTGGGTATGTACAATAATAAACTTGAGCGGCTTGCATTGCTAGAACGAATGGTTCATAGTGATTAAATCTACGCTTATGATTAACTTCAACAAGTTTATACTCAGAATGAACCTTCATGCCCACACTTGTTGGGTCAAACCACTCACACTTAAATAATATTGTCCTCTTGATTGGTAAACCAAGGTACTCTACTTGTAGAATTTCTACCAATCGACCATAATAATCACTTTCATCTACACTATAGTTTGTACCTTTTATACAAACTCCACTATTCATTGTTTCTTTAGCTCCACCATAACCAATGGTGTGAAATTTAAAGCCATTCACATAATACCCTGAATAGGTATTAACGCATCTTAGTGGCCCTTTTGCAAGATCCTTTATAAATTTGTTTGAAATGCTATTTGAAGGATCATGTGCCTGTATAATACATAATATAAGTGTTAAAGTTTATTAAATAATTTGAAGTTTAATATACATAATATATATACAAGTCTTACATAGTCATTGAACCAATTTGCAAATTCATTTTCCAATTTACCATCAATGGTAGTACTGGAAATGTTTGGTTGACTCCTCTTTAACTCGTCAATATAAACCCTTTAAAAAAAATAAGTGGGTTAATATTTATAACACATTGCATAAGAAAATTGAACAGAAGTGAATTCTTACTCCATAAATGACTCCACTTCTGAACAATTTAATAACACATAGGTTTGAGCAGCTTTATACTCTTCATCTGTCATATATCTCGCTTTTGCTTTACCAAATGCTCGACCCGGATACTTGAATATAGAAAGAGTTTCTTCATGTTCGTCACCTACATATTCACTACTATTTGCATTTCGAGGCACGTTTCTGTGCTTCGTGCTAACATGGTCCTCAAAATAGTATGAACAGAATGATGATGCTTCTTCCACCAAATATGCATTGGATATAGAGCCCTCGACTTTTGCTTTATTTTTGACATTATTTTTCAATTTTCGAGGGTATCTAAACACAATTGACATATATAAGTGACAATGCTATTATATGTTTGGAAACATATAAAACTAATAAAATTTATAACTCTCAAATGGATACATCCACCTATATTGAACTGGACCAGCAATCTTTGCTTCATAAGCTAAGTGGATTGGTAGATGCTCCATAGAGTCGAAGAAACTAGGTGGAAATATACGTTCAAGTTTACATAGAATGAGAGGTATGTCATTCTCAAGCTTCGTCATTTCCTCCACTGCAATTGTAGTGGAAGTAAGGTTCTTAAAGAATAAACTCAACTCTGTAAGAACTTTCCAAACATTTAGCGGGAGCAACTCACGAAATGCGATTGGTATTAACCTCTGCATAAACACATGACAGTCGTGACTTTTCATACCAAACAACTTCAACTTCTTCATATCTACGCATCGACTCATATTCGATGCATAACCATCAGGAAATTTGAGATTCCTAACCCATTCACACAATGTTTCCCTTGCCGGTTTGTCAAGTGTGTAACAAGCTTTTGGGAACTTTCGGGTCACAAGGTCTTGCTTCAGCTCCGGCCGCTGACAATAATCATTCAGCTCTTCTCTAGATTTATATGTGTCCTTTGTTTTTCCAGTAACATCCATTACTGTGTTGAACACGTTATCAAACACATTTTTTTCTATATGCATGACATCCAAATTATGCCGTACCAAGTGTGAACTCCAATACGGCAAATCCCAAAAGATACTTCGCTTCTTCCAACCGCAAGTTTTGGAAATTAATCCATTAACTTCAGTTGCATCCAATTCAGTGACCTTCTTAAGGCCCAAAGTCTCGATCTCTGCAAGGATATCATATCCTGACCGAACAGGCGGTGCCTCAGTTGTAACCGCTCTATTTTTAAAGAATGCGGTCTTATTCCTGCGAAATGGATGATTCGGTGGCAAAAATTTTCGATGATTGTCAAACCACGATTGCTTACCACTTTGTTTTAGGGTGAAGGCATCCGACTTGTCCATGCAATATGGACAAGCTAACCTCCCAGCAGTGCTCCACCCGGATAACATCGAATATGCAGGAAAATCACTAACTGTCCACAAAAGGGCAGCTTGCATCTGAAAATTCTGCTTCTTTGAAATATCATATGTTTGAACACCGACTTCCCATAATTGGTTTAACTCCACAATAAGCGGTTGTAAAAAAACATCTATCTTCTCTTTTGGATTTTTTGGACCTGGAACCAATACGGTCAAGAACATATACTCCTCCTTCATACACATCCAAGGAGGCAAGTTGTACGTTGTTAGTATCACAGGCCATGAGGAGTACTGTTGTCCTGACTGTCCAAATGGTTGAAAACCATCGGTGCACAGACCTAACCTGGCATTTCGAATTTCAGATGCAAAGTCAGGATAAGTGTTGTTAAAATGCTTCCAAGCAAGCGAGTCTGAGGGATGACGCATGATTCCATCTTCAACTGAATTTGCATGCCACTTCATATCATTTGCTGTAGCATTAGATGCATACAACCTCTGCAGTCGAGGAACCAAAGGAAAGTAATACATTTTTTTGTATGCTACATTAGTTTTCTGTCGTTTTGTAGCACCACGAGAAGTTTGTTTAAATCGAGGGTGGGCACAAAACTTACACGTTGTCATATCTATATCTGACTCCCAATATATCATGCAGTTGTTCTTGCAACAATCAATCTTCTGAACCGGCAATCCCATACCCCGTAATAGCCTTTTGGTTTCGTAGAAGTTGTCAGGAACTAGATTATCCTCCGGAACAACTTCTTTCAAAAGTTCAGTGAATTGATTGAAACATTTTTCTGATATGTGATTCTCTGATTTCAAGCTCATAAGTCGAGCTACAAGAGACAACTGCGAGTGTTTTTTACTCCCAGGCCACAACTCTTGATCTGCAGCTTTCAGCATATCATAAAACTTTTGGGCATCGGGATTTGGCGATTCCTCTATTTCATCCACATTAAATTCGGGACCAGCAGCATCCATAACCATTGTGTGGTAAGCATTAGATGCTTCTTCACTAGCCATTTGAGATGGGCCACCAACGTCTCGATCAACATCTACACTCACATTGCACTCGCCATGGAAGCGCCAAACATAGTAGTCCGACACAAATCCATATTTTGCTAAGTGAAATTTCACGGTAGGCACATCTAAATACTTGGTGTTTTGACACTTGCGTTGATTACATGGACATTTAATTCTTTCCCCGTCCATCCAACTATGTTGACTAGTAGCAAATTGGATGAAAGTTTCAAGACCAGCCAAAAACTCTTCAGTGAGAAGACCATTTCTAATTCGTGTATACATCCAATGACGATTTGAACTCATTTTATTTATCACCTATTTTAAAATATTTTTCAATGCTACATTTCATTTAAAAAATAAAAATAATAATAATAATAATAAAAAAACAATCACTGAGACATTCAAATAAAGCTTATAATAAACAATCATGCATTCATAAACCTCCGGTACCCACAGGCGGTTTAGCCGGAGAAAACACAAGTGCCGGTACCCACAAGCGGTATAGCCGGCCAATAAACAACAAATAAACAATCATGCATATTATAAACCTCCGGTACCCACAGGCGGTTTAGCCGGAGAAAACACAAATGCCGGTACCCACAGGCGGTTTATCCGGCAAATAAAGAGATTTAAATAAACAATGATGCATATCGTCATAAAACTCTGGTACCACAGGCGGTTTAGCCGGCAAATAAAGAACAAATGAAAAAATTGTAATTGTTCATACCTTATCACTCGTAGAAGAGCTTGGTGGTTGTGACCTTTTGTACTGACAGTGTTGTGACCTTTTGTACTGACATGCAATTATACAATGATAGTATATTAGACAGTGTTGCATTAGGTGCATTCTAATGATTATTAGAATGCTATTTCATAAACCTACAAACTTATAGCAACATTTAAAGTTAAGTCAAGCACACATATTCTTGGTCCTTTGGGTATTATATTTTAAATGTTAAGGACAAAAAGGAAGAATCAGATTCAAGGTAATTCTAAACACAAGCCAACAAATTTTGAGTGAGAACAAATTAACAAGGAAAGAGATGATTAAATGAATGGTCAAACAAGAAAAGATGGGCAACATACATAAAGAACAGACTTGTTGAGAAGCTGAAACACCCTTATCAGTGTGCCCAGCAACTACAGCACAACCTTCTAATGGTAAGTTCTTATCCTTTAGTTGTTGAGTTTTTTTCTCATCAACAAATTGTCCAAGAGCTCTTTCGACCAACCTGGTAAAACAGAGCATCACAAACACAATTAACAAGATAACAAAAACTAACTGCAGAAAGAAATTTACTGATGATCTTCAAATAACATTTTCTTTTATCTTCTTTGACTTTTGACTCATTACTGAATATGTATCTAACATAAAAGGTGGGAAAAACAAAACAAAAACAAGCAATACAGTATATTTATTAATAAAGGATTGCAGTCTAGATACAGCAAGAAAAATTAGCCTTCTAATCCTTTTCAAAAGCAGGTTAATAATTTAGGGCAGAGTTAAACTTTGGATTCCAATTTTCAAATTTAAGACTTAAGAAAAGACCTACTACAAGTATGCTGCTTCCATAAAAATAGCAGCTTCATGAAAAGATTAATTAAGATATAGAAACTTAGTCCGTTCAAAATTTTCAACCTAGTAGCAGTTAATGCAAGTAAAATAAGCAAATGGGTTCTGTTAAATGTTTCTATGAGGATTTTATTTGATATTAGACCATTAAATATGTAAAAATGTAATATCTTACCAACACCCAATCTAGTGCACACAAATCATTGCAGAGGACCAACAATTAAAAGCAATATGCAGACCATGGTGCAAACATCTAAGCATGATTAAGAAGTTAAATCTGATTCAGAGAAGCCAAAGATCTTTTCTGAAACCATGATAAACAAAGCAGTCATACATAGTACCCATTTGGCAAAACATAGGATTACTGATTATGATAATAATTTATGATTATGGATTGTAAATAATTTATATTATACTCAAAGATACAAATGCACTATTTGCTTGAATAAAAGTGAAAAGTTTTTACAATGTATAATCCACAACTTAATAATCATAGTAAATAAGCTTTACCAAATGAGCGCATAATATAGAAACACACCAATGAAATGTGTCGTGCCACTTGTAAAATTAGCAATATTACATCATACTTCCAGATATGAAGGCAAACAATAAAATGAGAAACAGCCGGTGTGGACAAATCAATGCCACTTCAATGAATGTTCTAATTGATGTAATTGATAGATTTTTTTTTTGAAAGAATTGATAGACTTAAATAACAAGAAAAAGCAAAAGATAATAGTATCACACATCTGAGGCAGCTTGTTGGGATACATATAACTAGAGTTTAAGAAAAAGGATCTTACTCTGTCAGTTGAAGTCGCACCGGAGTTCAAACTGGAGTTGGTATCCCTATCCAGCATGCAAGGCAGGCTATTATTTGCACTTTGCACTAAAGCAGCTGCATCATCCAAAAGGCAAGCCAATTCATCCACTAAGCATTTTGCTGCAATTAAACATACATGAAAAAAAAAATTGTAGTTAAGATATTCTATTAAATATGATATTAATGTAGACAGTATCAAATTATCTAACAAATTACACATGGAACATCTAATCACAATAGGAGAACCATCAGCTATTGTTTATAGTAGGTGTTGATATGGTATTAAAAAGGGTAGAATAAGAATATAAGGGTATGCACCAAATATTGAAAAACAAAGGCCCTATCAGAAACTAGAAAAAAACTTTTTGAACTAAAAACAGGGATATGTGCTTGTCTAAAACTTAAAAACCACCAGTTCCTTAATATTTGAGAGACTAGGAAGGTGCTTTGAGCTTACAAAATCATGTTAAAGATCAATAGAAAAATATGATGGGATAATGGACAAAAAGGCACTCGAACTATTTGGAAAAATGAAATTGGGCCCTAAATTTTTTTTTTTTTTTTAAAAGAAGCTTCCATTGGCCAACTCATGGATTACTTACTATAGGGAGGTAACTTATTAAAGTGCTTATTGCACCTTTTTTTAGAGTTTAGGCAGCCACTTAAAGCTTTTTTCGAGTTCACTATAGGGAGGTAACTTATTGTACATTACACCACAGTCCACAGCTGAAGTTCACTCCCTTTCTTCCTTTTTTAAAGAAAAATGAAATAAACAAACTAGTATTTGTATATAAGAGCATATGGAACTTCCAAAAGTTGGAAGGGAAATGATCTAGACATATTTTCTGGCCAAGTTTATTGAATAGAGAAAGACAATGTTGAGAAAGTTTTTAAGCAGGCAAACTCTTAGAGGACCGCTCTCCTCTGGATCAAAGTTTCACAAACACCAAAAAGGGTGGCAGCTTGGGCTGTGGGTAGGGCCAAGTGAGTTGGTCAATGTAAACTTGAGGGTCCTTAAATTAAACTGCTGCTTTCCTTCAAAGTGCTTATTAGTTGTTGAAATCCATGGACCACAAAGAGAGCAATTTAGACATTAGACTACAACAAAAGATTCTAGTAATGGTCAATTTACCAACAATATAATTCCCCCGAGTTTTCTTTTCCTATTTAACATAGAGCTTAAGACTAGATTCAAAAACAAATATGCACAAGGTAAAATCGGGAGTTTTTACCTGATATGTTAGCTTCTATCTCCAACTCAATGCTCTGTTCTTTGTTAATCTTTTCCAGAAAAGGAAGAAGTGAATCGAGTTTTGTTAACCCTTTTCTTGTCCCTATAAAATTCCTGATAAGATCATCAATATAGGCATCAATATCAGCATACCTGCTGTTCGCCGGAGGACTGGAAATAGATAATCTGGGCGAAGAGGACGGGAAATAGATAACTGCTGTTCGCCGGAGGGTCCAGATACCAGTCGACGTTCCGGTTAACTGACGGTTTTAGTGTTGAACTTCGTTGTGTCCAAGCCTATCAATCTTACCACCTTAATTCGAACCCTTGGTTTCTCTAACTTTGGTTAGTGGTGAACACCTTTGTTGCTCAAAACCTCATTTGCAACTTATCTCTTAAGCTTTGCCACCCGTTTCGCAAGCCGACCATTTTGTTGTGGAACCCCGTTGCATTCTTTGCTTGTTCTGTTAGTCGGTTCGTTGGTAGCTGTTGTTTGTTGGCTATGCTTAGTTGTTTTCTCTTGTTTGCCTTGGTGGTTAGTTTTTTGCTTGGATAGTTAGTTTAGTGTCTTTCCTAGGTGGAATTCAGTTATTTGAGTTTAGGCGTGGTTTAGAAGGCTATAGTTGTTGTTGTCTTGGCCTTAGCGTTTATGTTGCTCAAGGAATTTCTTTTGTGATCTTTTGGAAACCTTGTAATTTCTTGATTTTTTGCAAACCATACACCTTTTGGATCCTTGAAGTTTTGGTTAAATGGTGTTCTTGTTTTCCTTTTTTGTCACATGGTTGGTTTGTTGTTACCCGTTCGTTTGAACTCGTCGTGCCCAAGCTTCGGGGACGAAGCTTCTTGTTAGGGGGGAGAGGATGTGACACCCCGTAAATCCAAACTTTGACCAATGATTAATTAGAGAATTAATCTTAGTCTCTTTGCTAATTTATTCCTAAAAATCCTGAAATTCAATAGTCAAGGGACTAGATTTTGACTAGTCACTTAAAGTCAAAGAGTTGTACCTTGTGCTTTTTGAGTTGTGCCCTTGCTCCCTTGTCTTTCCAACTTTAGTAAGGGTAGGGATGTCTTTCTACCTAAGGTTTGTGGTTCAAGCTAACCTAGCAACACTTCTTCATTTCATTCACCCTACAATCTAAACACAAAAGCCTCTAACTTCTCTTTAGAAAAGTGTAGCTTCTTCTCCAAGCTAAGATTTGAGCATCCCAAATCTTGCAAGTTGTCTCCCAAGATTCCTAATTTCTTCATCTTGAACTTAAGGGAGGGTAAGATCCATGGTCTTTTGGTGCTTTTAACCTCCTTTTAGGTGTCTTTTTCTAAAGATAGAATCTTTGTTGTCTTTTGGTTTGTGTTTGAAGTTATTGTGGAAGAAGAGCTTTAGGAGAGGCTTTCTAAGGGTGAGAAAGTGAAGTTTTAGGCTACAAAGGTAACCCATGCTTTACAAAACCTATTTTCTTACTTATATGATGATTCTTGGCTTCTACTTGTGATTATTGTGTTGATTTGTAAGATTTGATGCATTGTCTTGTGGTGATGCATGTTTAGAGCTTGTTCTTAGGGTTCTTGAATGCCATTACTTGGTTATTTCTTGGGTTCAAGTCAGATCGAAGCCAGTTCAAGCCGCACAGGAGAAGATGAAGAAGAATCTAAGGAGTCCGAGGAGTCGGAGAGCG